ATGAAACAGTGAATGGAACTGTTTTCTTAATTCCTCTGACAGATAGTGGTAGTTGAAATGCCAAAGATTTTATACATTGATTTTATATGCTGCAAGTTTACTGAATTACTTTATTAGTTTTAACAGTTTTCATATAATATCATGTCTTCAGCAAACAGAAAATTTGATTTCCACCAGAGAATATAGTAACATATGTTTAACATATAACATATAACAATATTACAAATTAGGTTAATCCTTTAGCTCACATATGCTTTTTAATACAAGTGATATATAAATTAATAATACATTACATATATCATAAACAAGAATGCTACAAATACATATGAATTATAATGAAATCTATTAACATCCTGACATCATGTCCAGCCACTTTGAACATTGTTTGCCACCCCTGAGAGGGTCTTATGCTCTTTCATCTAATTTATTGCTATCATTCTTTTAGAGCTCAACTCAGGTTTTAGCTCACCCAGCAAATTTTCCCTGACTTCCCAGACTAAGTCAAGTCCCCTGTTATACTTTCTCATCATACCATGTAATTCTTCATGGTTACAATTCCATAACAATGTGTCTTTTCACTATCTTTTAGTTCTGTACAATCTCTGATAATAAGGACTTCAATATCTTATTTTCTATTTTATTCCTAAAACCAAGCTCAGAGGTTTACAAAATGAATAAATGATTATGAAATAATTATTAGAAGAATTTTCTGGCTTATCTACACTAATAAAAGAGAAACATGCAAATTGACCATTACTTCGCTACACCCACCAGTCAATCAGGAGTGAGTAGGCAAATTAACCCAACTAAGATGGCAGTGGCCCCACCTTTCATCCCCAGCCGCTCCAGGCCTCTGAGCAGCATGCATGCAGGCACAGAGTGGCCAGGCAGAGCAGGACGCCTGCTATGAGGGGGAGGGCTGGGGGCAGAGGGCGGAGGGAGCTATAGGAGTTAGAGCAAAGACTGAAGATGGCGGCCAGAGGGAAGGCCTGGGTGCCTGGTGCTGGAGGAAAACCAGTGCCAGCAGCCAGGGGATGGAAGGCCTATTTCACAAATCTCTTCATGCAACAGGCCTCTAATTTATTTAAGTAAAATAGAATTGCAGACTTAAAGACCACCATGTTGCTATTTACTAATTTTTCTTATGGTATTTAAAATACAATTAACTTTTCTGTTAAGGTAAGTTAAAATAATGCAGAAAATTCTAAATTTAAAAGGCTAATGTGCAAAGTGTCCCCTTAGAGTTCAATGGGGAGTTCGATCACTTGCTATGACATGCACTGATCACCAGGGGGTGGTGCAGATTGAAGGAAGACCCTGGTTATCAGCTGGAAGGCCCCAATTGGCCCTGATCTCTGGCCATGCCTAGGGACCCTACCCATGCACAAATTTCATGCATCAGGTCTCTTCTTTCTTTATAAGAAACATTATTATTTGACAAGCCAATAGGAAAACTTACTTTCTTTTGCCTAACAGTGTCCATTTTAAATAAGATTTGCTTCTGCTTAATACAATATTCCTTTCATGATCAGTAGTAAAGAAACTAGCAAGCAATGAAATAGAATAAATTTTTTAAAAAGTACTTTAATAAGCCTTAAAAGCCTTTTCACAGTATAACATTAAAAAGTTAATAAATATTATATAGAAGAAAAAGGGATGGAGGGAATTCCACATAGGGCACTGAAACAAGAATAATATGTTTTGCTTGCAAATAACATTTCTATTAATACTTTATTTTCTTCACAAATCAATAGAGAATAATAGAAATTATTTTGGTAGCTTTTCAAAGAAACATAGAAATATTCCTTAAAGTCTGCCTAGCTCTGTTTTATACTATCTCACTCACCTCTTGAGAGAACTGCTTATTCCTCCAACATTTCTATGGTTCTGATGGGGCTGCTATTGTGGTATCCTCATTTCCATTTGACAGACAAAAATTTTATCATATTCTCAATACAGTGGGCACACATAATCTTAGCTGGGGATTAGAGATGGGAGGAGGGGGTTTCTTCTCCCATTAATATATATAAAAAAATAAACAACTGTTTGACCAGTAGCTAAGACACACACTGACCACCAGGGGGCAGATACTCAAGGAACAGGCATGGACATATGGAACAGACTGATGAATCTCAGATGGAGGGGGGAGGTGGGAGGGCAGGATAAGATTAACCAAAGATCTTATATGCATACCAGAGGCCCAGTGCATGGATTCATGCACCGGTGAGGTCCGTTGGCCTAGCCTGCACTCCCTCGAAATCCAGGGCTCCTCACGGGATGTTGGGCTGCTAGTTTCAGCCCAATTCCCGCAGGCCAGGCCGAGGGACCCCCCACTGGTTCACGAATCCCTGCACCGGGGCTTCTAGTAGATAATAAACCCAGAATTGTCAGCAAGCAAAAGAGAATGACATCCAATGGGAAAGGTGGAATGAGAAAGAGCAATTCTAGGTGATATTTTCTTCTCTAGATTCAGAAAAATCTAGAAACTAGTTCTAGTCCTTGCTGAACCATGGTTTAGTCATCTAATAAATCCCTCCCTACCCCCCCCTTTTTTTTTTTTTTTGCTTAAACTAGCTTAAGATTTGTCAGTTATGACCCAAAATTCCCAATACATTTCCTATACTCATTTAGGCTTGATAAACAAAATATAAAAATCTTAGTGTGTTTTGTTTTTTGTTTTTTTTTAACTGCCTTGTTCTTACAAATCTAAGTAATGTTACACAAATGCTCCTTCTCTCTTGCAATTATTTTCAGGGCTTTTTTGTTTGTTTCTTTTTGTTTTTGTTTTTTTTTTAATATATTTTATTGATTTTGTACAGAGAGGAAAGGAGAGAGATAGAGTTAGAAACATCGATGAGAGAGAGTCACCGATCAGCTGCCTCTTGCACACCCCCACTGGAGATATGCCCACAACCAAGGTACATGCCCTTGATCGGAATTGAACCCGGGACCATTCAGTCCCCAAGCTGACACTCTATCCATTGAGCCAAACCGGTTTTGGCTATTTTTCAGTTTTATTCAGGTATAATTGACCAATAGAGGTTGTATATATTTAAGGTGTACAACTTGATTTTCTAAATATAAAAGATGGTGAAAGATCACCACAATTAAGCTGGTTAACAAACCATCATCTCAGAGCACCTTCCTCCCCCATACAATTTTAAATAAATACAAGTAAACCTTTAAATAAGCATGAAGTATATGTATTAGTTTAAGTTGTTATTTGTAAATAAAACAAAATATATAGTTCATATATATGAAAATGACACAACTTGAAGATTTAAAAATGCTACATTATTGTAGATATAAACACTGTATACTTAGGATACTCTAAATTTACAAAAGAAAATGTTTTTCTTTCTAGTAATAATAAACTAACCTTAGTTTACTGTATTACTTTTACTTTACCATATAAATTTTTAAATTTTATAATAACTGCTTAAAACACAAACACATTATACAGTTTACAAAAATATTTTATATTCTTATTCTGGTTTTTCCATTTTTAATTTTTTATTTATTTTTAACGTATAGATTTTTTATTAAAACTTAAGACACAAGCATACACATTAGCCTAGGCGTAAACGGGGTCAGAATCATCAATATCACTATCTTCTATCTTCATATCTTGTCCCCCTGAAGTAACACGGATGGAATTATATTCGGTGATAACAATTATTTCTTCTGGACTATTTCCTGAGTCTCTTCTTGAGGTCTCACTCTTCAGAAATAGGTCCACAGTAGTTTATTTTTTTTTTTCTTTATTTTTTTTCTCATAGATTTGATTAAAAGCAGATAATGTACAATGAAGATTCCTTTCTATTCATGACAACCTTTTGGTGTTAGAGTTCAGATTTTCAAACTTTTTAAGAAGCTTGATGAGGTCTTCAAAAGTTTCCACTACAACCTGCACTGAGAATTTACTTCTTGATTCACCTGCAATTTCCTTTTCTCTTTCCTCTTCTTCATCTATACATTTCTGTTCCAGTTCCAGCTATTTCTAATTAATCAATTCTTCAGGAACCACCTCTAGAAATTCCTCAATGTCATTCTCATCCAGATCCTGTTAAAGTTGTTTGCCATCTCAACTATAGCCTTGCAGATTTTTGCAACTTCTGCAATAAGTTACTAAGCAACAGTAATTTTTAGCTCTATTATAATATTATGGGACCACCATCATACATGCGCTCTGTCAATGACCAAAACATCATTATGTGATGCATAACTGTACATAAAAATAAATATATAAAACAGTAAGAGTTTCACAAAACGGTACCTATTCTAGGTGAAGTACTAATTTTTTCTATTTTGTTTTATAATGTTGATAAATATTTCAAAACCCACCCTTGTAATGTAGTGCAATTTGAGACACACAAAAAGCAAATTAAGTTCTGACTTTTTCTGCCATGTTTCAATGACCACTCATCTATCTGTTTTCTGCCCCTCAAACAATTGTTGAAATCTTTCATTCACTGATGAGTCTCCTCCCCTCTTTTCCTTTCACTATATATTTCTCTCTTTTTACTTCTTTACTATAATTTTAGTAGGATCTAGAAGGGTAAAAACAATAAACACAAGGTCTCAGTCTGATCTTTAACTCAAAGCCCTCTACAAGTATTTTTTTAAAAAAGTGAGTTTCCTAACCTCTTTCTGACTGATTTAAGGTCCCTCTGCTAATTATGATGGCCTTAATTGCTATATTCCTGGAGTTACCATTACAGCTTCCCAAGGCAATCTAAGGAATTAAAACGGAAAGGGGAAGAAAAAGGAAAGTGCTGATACCAATAATAAGAATCTATATAACAATTCCATTTAACTGTAAAACTAAATGTAAAATTGTGGTTAATTATTTGAAACTAAACATAAATATTTAGGAAAAGGAAATTTCTTTTTGAGGGAAAACTTTAGGAAAGGTGTCTTCCACAAAGAAAATAATCAAAAAACAATTTTCAAATACATCATAATAAGTAATATTTTTATAAGTAATAAAGAGTACTTACAAGGCAAGGCTACTCAAAACATATTGTACGTGCTCACATTCATCTGGGAATGATGCACTAGCAGATGTAAAACAGGAAAGTGCAGTCTGAAGAACTTGAAGTTGGGGCAAAGGGACTTGCCATCTTCCAGCATAATCTTCAACCACCTGATAGGGAAAAAAGTATATTATTATATAAAATGTCCTCAACTTCCCCAGTTTAAAAATTTGAATAAAACTAGTTATGGAACCACCAAAACATTTTAAATTTGACTAAAATCAGTTATGCCTGAACATAAATGATGGGGGGTGGGGGGTGGGGGGTATAATTTATTTTCATTGTGTATTATCTAAAAGTAAAATTTACTATTTTCTTTAAAAATTTGGGAAAGAAATCTATAAATATAAAAGCCTAAGCGACCATAGCAACCAAAACAACAAGAACGGATGACCAAACAGGCTGTGGGACGACCAGGCTGGTAGGGGGCTTAGTGAGGGACAACCAAATGACTGAACAGCAGGCTGCCTGGGGTAAACAGGCCAGCAGGAGTAGGCAGTGACAAGCAACCAGGCCAGCAGAAGGGGGCAGTGACAGGCAAACAGGCTGACTGGGGGAGGGGGGGGGGGGCAGTCGGGGCAACTAGGCCTGCAGGTTAGGCAGTGAGGGGCGACCAAATGACCAAATAGCAGGCTGCATAGGGCGATCAGGCTGATAGCGGAGGCAGTAAGGGGTGACCAGACCGGCAGGGGATGGCAGTGAGGTATAACCAGGTTGGTGACCAGGCTGGCTGGGGGGAGGGTAGTTGGGGCCAACCAGACCAGCGGGGAAAGGGGAAAGTTAGAGACAATCAGGTCTTCAAGGGGGAGCCACTGGGGATGAAAAGGTCAGCAGATTGGGCCATTGGGGGTTACCAGGCCATTGGGGGAGGGGGGCAGTTATGGGTAATCAGGCAGGCAGGCAGGTGAGCAGTTAGGAGCCACTGGTCCCAGATTATGAGAGGATGTCCAACTGCAAGATGTCCACAGGGATCGGGCCTAAACCAGCAGTTGGCCAGCACATCTCCCGAGGGTCCTGGATAGCAGAGGGTGCTGCTGGGCTGAGGGGACCCCTCCTCATGCACAAATTTCATACACCAGGCTTCTAGTTTCCTATCTAATAAAAGAGTGATATGCAAATTAACCATCACTCTGCTACACCCATCAGCCCATCAGGAGTGAATATGCAAATAAACCAAACCAAGATAGCTACAGCCACAGAGAGCAGGGGGAGGCTTGGGTTTCCCCAGAAATGGAGGAAGCCAAGCTTTCCGCACACCCTGGCCTGCCTTGGCCTCTGCTATAGGCTACAAAGTTTCAATTGTAGAAGATAAATAAACCCCAGATGCCAGGGCCTCTGCTTGGGTCACCAGAGGGCGTGGCCAGCCTATAAACCACCATATGCCCCTCACCCAGGCCACCCCACACCCCAAGGGAACCACCACCCTGATCTGGAAAATCCTTCAGGGCAAACCAGCTGGTGCCCACCCATGCAACAGGCTTCTATCTTATCTAATAAAAGAGTAATATGCAGATTGACCATCACTCCAACACACAAGATGGCTGCCCCCATGTGGTCAAAGATCCTGCCCCCATGTGGACATAAGATGGACTCTACAAGATGGCCAGCGGGGGAGGGTAGTTGGGAGGGAAAGAGTAATATGCAGATTGATCATTACTCCAACACACAAGATGGCTGCCCCCATACAGTCAAAGATCCTGCCTCCATGTGGACACAACATGATCACCACAAGATGGCCAGCAGGGAGGGTAGTAGGGAGGGACCCAAGCCTGCAGGGTAAAGCAGTTGGGAGGCACCAGGCCTGCAGGGGAGGGCAGTTAGGTGCAAACAGACTGGCAGGGGAGTGGTTAGGGGCTGATCAGGCTGGCAGGTAGAAGCGGTTAAGGGCAATCAAGAAGGCAGGCAGGAGAGCAGCTAGGAGCCAGCAGTCCTGGATTGTGAGAAGGATGTCCAACTGCCCGTTTAGGCCCGATCCTACCGGGCAGTCAGACATCCTTTGAGGGGGTCCCAGATTGGAGAGGGTGCAAGCTAGGTTGAAGGACAACCCTCCTGTGCATGAATATTATATGAATGACTGTACCATTCAGCTCACAAATATTCACAAAACTTTGTAACACATACTCTTTACCTCCTATATTTATCTTTTGTCAAAATACCAATTAATATTAAAATAGCTAGACAGCAGAAAATAGTATTAGAGTAGTGTAAAAATTAGTATATATTATTATTATTATCTTTATTTATAGGACTACACTCTAAGCCTCCTGACAACAAATGAGTATTAAAGACATAGTGGCATGATGCTCTAATTATGAAAGTTAAAACTGTACCATATTATGGAGAAAAGAGTGCAGAATATAATCAAGTTTGGCTCTGTCATTGGGTAACTCATCTTCCTTCTCTATACATTACTTTTCTCACCATAAAATGGAACTAATGCTTGTCTTGCATGTTTACTCTGAAGTTGAGATAATGTATGTAAAAACACTTTAGAATGATCAATCCCTATATTGATATATATTATGTACTCCTATAAATCTATATACTAGTAAAATTATTCCCATGCAAGACTGCTGCTATATAAAAACACTGTATTATATAAAATGGATCAACCAACAGGGCCTGAAAACCAAATTTGTCATGCAACCTGCTTTTTGTATAACCCACAAACTAAGAATGGATGTTATGTTTTTAAGTGACATAAAAAAAAATATTTTGTGATGTATGAAAATTATATGAAATTCAAATTTCAGCCAGGACTGGTTTGGCTCAGTGGATAGAGCGTCGGCCTGCAGACTGAAAGGTCCTGGGTTCGATTCCGGGCAAGGACATGTACCTTGGTTGCGGGCACATCCCCGGTGGAGGGTGTGCAAGAGGCAGCTGATCGATGATTCTCTCATCGATGTTTCTAACTCTCTATCCCTCTCTCTTCCTCTCTGTGAAAAATCAATAAAATATATTTTTTTAAAAGAAATTCAAATTTCAATGTCCATAAAGTTTTATTGAAACATATTCAGATTCATTCATTTATATATTACCTATGGCTATTTTCCTGATACAAGTACCAAGTTGAATAGTTATGACAGAATTGCCTTACAAATCCTAAAATATTTATTATATGCCCCTTTAGAGAAAGTTTTCCAACTCAATTTAAAAGGTGGAAAAACTAGTGCAGGGTATACACACCAAGAACATTCACAGCTCAAGGACTTTTCATACTAATCACTTCCTTTGAGGAGACAATTTTCCACTGGTTTCTTATACTTCTATAGTTTTTCAAAAAGAGGTTCTGATAGCCTTTATCCTATAAATATATTTATCAGAAATGACCTTAAAAAATACATACTGTCTCCCTCCAGACCAGTGAGCCTGTTTACTGTCTGTATAATCATGATGTCATCTCCCTCTAGAGCAGACCATGGTATTTTGTGGAAGAGCCACACTCAAGGGGCCAAAGAGCCACATGTGGCTCACGAACCGCAGTTTGCCAACCACAGTTCTAGAGCAAAGGTCAGACAGATAGATACGCTTCAAACCCCTATAAAAGAGAAGGGTTCTCTAAACTTGGGTCCTGAGTTGTGATGAAAACCTACTTTGAGTGCAGGATCCACTTGAGACACTCACACCACCTTTGTGAGACTAAGGGCCAAGGAGAACCAACATAAACATGAAGCTAATGCTGCTTGCTGTGCAATCCTATATAATAAAAGAGTGATATGCAAACTAACCATCACATGGCTATACCCATAAGCCGCCAGCCAGTCAATAAGAAGCAAGTATTCAAATTAATCCAACCAAGATGCTGTGGCCATGGAGAGAGCAGGAGGGAGGCTTGGGTTTCTTGGCAATGGAGATAGCCAAGCTTTCGGCACATCCTGACTGGCCGAGGCCTCTGCCTTAAGGCTACAAAGTTTCAATTATAGAAGATAAATAAATCCCAGATACCAGGGCCTCCGCTTGGGTCGCTGGGTGGCATGACTGATCTGCAAACCACCACAGGCCCCTTGCCCAGGCTGCCCAAAGGAACTAGCACCCTGATCCAGGACACCCTTCAGGGCAAACCAGCTGGTGCCCACCCATGCAACAGGCTTCTATCCTAATAAAAGATTAATATGCAGATTGACCATCACTCCAACACACAAGATGGCTGCCCCCATGCGGTCAAAGATCCTGCTCCCATGTAGTCACAAAATGGCCACCAGGGGAGGGCAGTTGAGGGACCAGGCAAGCAGGGGAGGGCAGTTGGGGGTAATCAGGCCTGCAGGGGAGGGCAGTTAGGAGTGATCAGGCCAGCAGAGGAGGGAAGTTGGTGGCAAACAGGCTGGCAGGGGAGCAGTTAGACATCAATCAGGCTGGCAGAGGAATGGCTAGGGGGTGATTAGGCTGGCAGGCAGATGCGGTTAGGGGCAATCAGGAAAGCAGGCAGGCGAGCAGTTGGGAGCCAGCAGTCCCTGATTGTGAGAGGGGTGTCCCAGATTGGAGAGGATACAGGCTGGGTTGAGGGACAATCCCCACACCCCCGTGCACAAATTTTATGTACCAGGCCACTAGTGAGTAATAAAGTCTTTTATCTCTTATCCAAGAGTTTGTCTTCTGCCAAGATCCATGAAAAAGTGGCAGGCTTAGATAAACTCTCAGACCTTTTACAGTTCTTTGACAATTCCAAATTGCAATACCAGGTAGCTAGCACAGGTCTCCAGTGTTTATAGGTCCATGTTCCGGTACAAAAAAAAAGCTAGAGGGTATTTGCCAGGAACCGAAACCTAACATTGTCACTGGTAATAAAATGTAAAAAGAGCTAGCCAGGCTTGATGGCTCTGAATGGTCACAGCTATTAACTCATTGACTCTAAGTTAAGTCACTTGGTGGTAAAATGTAAAAAGAGTTGGCTAACCAAAACCAAACATTTGTTCCCAGTTAGTAAAATGTAAAAAGAGCTAGCCAACTTGATGGCTCTGAATGGTCAGAGCTATTAACTCATCGTCTAGTTGAGATAGTGGTGGTTGAGGAAACTTTAATTTGTTAATCATATGTAAATGTAAATTCTTGTTGATTTTCTGTTGTTGGAACTTCTCGCCTAAGAGATGTCTTTGTTTCAGAATCTCAATAA